AGTTTGTTTTAATTTGTTACTCCCAACATCTCTATTATATCTGAGTCTGGTTCAGATGCTTGTTCTGTCTCTTCAAACTGTGTTTTTTGCCTTTCAGCATGCCTCATAATTTTTTGTTGAGAGCTGGACATGGTGTAGGGGTGAAAGGAACCCTGGAAAATAGGACCTCGGCAATGTGGTGGTGAGGTGTCAGGTGAGAAGAGTTCCATATCCTATGATCAGGGCTCAGTCTTTTAATGAAACTATGCCCTTTGTTTGTGAATGTCACAAGTGCTTTTCAGGCCCCCAATCTCAACTCTTAGGTGGGACGGATGGCCTGAGGGCTGGAGTTGAGTAACTGGATGGGTGGAAGGCTGGAGGCAGCTTAAGGTGGGTATTTCCTTTCCCCCAGGTTAGTTTTGCTCTGATACAATCCCAATCGTAGAGGCTCTGGCTCTGGTGAAATAGTTTCTCTTGAATGGCCTTATTGAAAAGAACAGGATGCTCTGGCATTTATCAAAATGGTTACTTTTCCCCTTTCCCTATCAATCTCTCAGGGGTTTCAAGTTTTTCTTTCTTTCTTTCTTTCTTTCTTTCTTTCTTTCTTTCTTTCTTTTTTTCTTTTCTCTTCTGATATTCACTGTGAGAACCTGGTAGAGCTTCAGGAAGTGAAATGCAAAAGCATGTGTCCATTCCCCTGGAGTTTTTAACTCTCAGACTTATCCACACAGTCCCCAGAATTTGTCAGTTACACCTTGAGTTTTCCAATCTTGGTACTGGTTTCCATGGAGGTTTCTGCCAATGAGTTTCTGCTCTGCTAAACTGGGCTTCTCTGTATGGTCTATCTCTTAAATTTTGGGAACAACATTTTGTTCTGTCGCTTCACTACCCTATGAGAGGGTAGAAGAGTACTGAGTTTTCAGTTTATTTGATTTTGATATGTTATTTTGATATGTTGTTGGGATGAAGTGGCAATTACAAGCTCCTTAATGTGGTGGAACAGAGACTGGAAGTCCTAGTTCTGATATTTAATTGGTGACTGTGTTCTCACTGTGCCCACCCGTGTTCACCCTGCTCACACTCCCCTGCACTTCCTTAATCCCTTTTGAGATTTCTTACTCTAACACAAGGACTGTGTTCAATCTACCTTGGCTTATCTGAGTATTTATTCTATGCAACCATAAAAATGAAGAAAAAGAAATCTATCAGGGACTTGAGTTATTTGGCAAAAATAAGGGAGACCAACTTCTTTTGATAAGAATTTTTTTTTTCAATTAAAAAAATATGCTTTAGAGCCTTCAAATTTCTATCTTAAACAGCCTCAGGAATGGGTGCACAACTGGAATTTACTACTAAAAGACTAAAATAGAGGGCTTTTGTAAGTAGCATTTCCGTCCACAGATATAGTCTGTGGCATAACTTTGCTAAAATATGTCTTAAGAATAACCTTGGTGCAGGATGGCAAAATACTTCTAGCCAGCGTGCCACGAATGAAAAGACGTGGGGTAATCTCCACTCCCTCTGAATGAATCACTAAATCAACCAAAGTAGAAGGGAGGGAAATGGGAAGAGATTCCATGCCTAAGACAGTGGATCAGAGCATTCTTGCATGTCTGAGTGGTGGAACCCTGCTCAACAATAAGAAATGTCTCTCTCAAAAATTTTAGCTCATTTTGGGTGTGCCTGGATGGTTCAGTCAGTTAAGTGTCTGCCTTTGGCTCAGGTCATGATCCCAGGGTCCTGGGATCTAGCCCCCTACACAGCTGGCTCCTTGCTCAGTCCAGAATCTGCTTCTCCCTGTCCCTCTGTCCCCTCCCCTCATGCTCTCTCTCTAATGAATAAATAAAATCTTTTTAAAAAATGTTAGCTCATTTGGAATTGGGGATATATTAAAAGTCTTTATTTTCTATTTTCTTTTAACTCATATCAATGGCTTATCACTTCAATTACTATTTCATTCCTTTTCAGTATATTCATGAGTTAAATCTAAATATTCTTTTTTTTTTAAAGATTTTATTTATTTATTTGACAGAGAGAGATCACAAGTAGACAGAGAGGCAGGCAGAGAGAGAGAGGGAAGCAGGCTCCCTGCTGAGCAGAGAGCCCGATGCAGGACTCAAACCCAGGACCCTGAGATCATGACCTGAGCCGAAGGCAGCGGCTTAACCCACTGAGCCACCCAGGCAACCCTCATGAGTTAAATCTAAAATGAGCACTGCACATGTAGACTTTTCTGAACATTATAACATCAGACACAAAACCTACCTAGCAGTCTTCACAGCAACATAAAGAAAAATAAGTTGATAGAAATTCAAGCAGCAGAAGGGGGCAGTAAAACTCAACAGAATGCTGTAGCAGATTTTTTATATACTTGCTTATTTTTCTTTCATAAGAGAATTTCCCAACACATTTTAGAGACTAATTAAAAAAAATCTGTACCATATATATATATATCTGTCTAAAATATACACACGGAAACACTAAATGTATATGAAAGTAAGAGCTATGATTTTATATAATCAAAACTTTATTTTTTATGGTGTGATATATCAAGGCACAATAATCATGGCACTTGTCCACATAAAACAGGTTTAACCCTTTGGATTTGGTTTGGGACATTTAATATCCCCTTATAACCAGCATCCCCAAATGTACTTTCCATTCTATTTCATGGTCTCAGACTTGTCAAAATTATTTAATAAATCATACCATAATGGTTTTTCCTCAGGTCTATATTTGGACTTCCTTTCTAAACTGTGCCCAACCTTAAAGTCATTTTCTCTTTGAACTCCTATCTGACTGCATAAGTACATGGAAGTCTCTCTACTCTACCATGTCATTGAAATTACAGGTTCAACCAAGTAGTTTAACCAAATAGATTTTTTTTATTGAATTTTCACTGTGAAAGAGAGTTCAATGTCTTTACATTCCAAGTAGTGTAAATGCGATTATTCTCTACACACTGTTTTGTCTTCACCTTTAAATTCAGTCTGTCTTTGAACAAGAAATGATACACAGTAAGTATACAATTAAGACCTCATAATGCAGATATTGGATGATAATGACTTCAACATGAATTCATAATTACAGTGTAGAATTTGAGTGCAGTACTAGAGTCAGAGTATAGAATCTTATGTGACACCTAAAAAAAGTTCAAATGTGTGGTCCTAAATATCACTTTAAAATTTTAGTAGAGAACACCTTTTAAAAATTATGCTCTTAGTTAAAATTCCGTGTAAGACTTAGTACAATAAATGGGAGTGTCATAAATTGAATGATTAAATATGACTAGAGGAGAAAGGCTTCTTGGATGAGATGGCATTTTAGTCATTTATGTCTCATGTAAAATCAGATAAATACCTTAACCAAAATGGTAAGGAAAGAGAAATTCAAGTAAGTTTCTTTTCTCTTTTAAGACTTCTACAGATTGAGGGGTGCCTGGGTGGCTCAGTGGGTTAAAGCCTCTGCCTTCAGCTCAGGTCAGGATCCCAGGGTCCTGGGATCAAGCCCTGCATTGGGCTCTCTGCACAGCAGGGAGCCTGCTTCCCTTCCTCTCTCTGCCTGCCTCTCTGCCTACTTGTGATCTCTGTCCGTCAAATAAATAAGATCTTAAAAAAAAAAAAAAAAAGACTTCTACAGATTGAGACATCTGGTATAATGTTACCTCAGGTTTTATGCTGTTTTTTTCCATTAGTGCTAAGAATGTATGGCTTTGAACGTTTTATTCTCCACTTTGATTCTGGTAACTAACTTTCTTGCTTTCTCTTTCTTTTCTTTCCTTCCTTCCTTTCTTTTCTTTCTTCCCTTTTCTTTCTTTCTATTTCACGCTCACACCACAAAAAGATATTAAATAAAGGCAAAGGATGATAAAAATTCAAAATTGTCAAACTCATCCATCTTTTCCATCCATTCCACTCAATTCCTCATCAAAACTGTTCCAAAACGAGAATAGAAGATTTGCACTAACAAGCCCAGACAACTGAAAAGTAAATGCAGTGTTGTACTTTGATACATTGTCACATTCATCATCTTGGAAAAGTGGGCCGAAATGACTTAAAGAAACAAACTTTAAAAACCTAGTTTCTTTTTCATGTATCTCCTGTGAAGGGCTGGTGACCAAAGCGGTGAAAACCCGCGCAGCAGAGATGGAAATGCATTAAAGCTTAAGTTTTGGATATTAGCATCCCGGCAGATCTGGACCCTTTCCCTTCCCTTGTTATCAGAGCAGCGGAAACGTTATAGTGGTGATTGCTCAAGCTCGGATGGACTGTTTACAGGATAGCTGCTAAGGAGCAAATTGTGGAGAGGAATTCACATTTTACAGATAATGTAAACTGACGATAGCTCTTATAGTTCATTCGGCCAAATAAAAAAAGTGTAATGTATGTATGCACTCCATATGCTCTAGGTTATGGGTCGTCACTGAAATCATGACGTTTGAAATACATGACGTGTAAAACAGTCTTTTTTGGCCCCGTCTGTCCAGACTGTGACTCCTCGCCCCCCTAAGACCTGGGGATGAGACATGGGGAGGGCCGCGCAGGGAGATTCCCTGCTCTCTGGGACCTCCGGCCGCTCGGATTCCCGGAGAGGAAGCATTATATTCTCGCTCCCGCAGTGGGATCCGCTAAGGCACCGGCTCTCTAAAATTCCGGGTCAAAAGACTGGGAGAAAGGGAAATCTGGAGCAAATCGCACTCCGGAGCTGAGGGACTGGGGGAGGAGAACCAGATCGCAGCGGGGCAGGGGTAAGGGGGTGGGGGAGGCGACTTCGCTTTGCACCCGCCTTGGGGAAGTCGAGGGCAGCTTCCCAGGTTTCCGATTTTCTCATTTGCGTGGGTAAAAAATCCAGCCTTCACCCGGTCTTACGCAATTATTTAAATAGACAGGGGGAGGGGGGAGAGTTGTGTGTGTGTGGGGGGGGGTTAGAGTTTTAAAGAGGCGGAAAGAAACAGTCATGCCGTCACGTGGGCTTATTTTTTACGCATAAAAGGAAGGTTCTCTCCGTTAGCTTCCAGTTGTCAAACAACTGGCAGCGAGTTTCAGGATTTCGCTGGTGACTTCGCACAGCGCCTGCTCCAGCTCCGCAGCCCGGAGCCCAAGTACGGCAACGCCTCCGCCCGCCCGCGCTCCGCCCGCGCTCCGCCCGCCGCCGCCGCCGCCGCCGCGATGCTTGCTCGCGCCCTGCTGCTCTGCGCCGCTCTGGCGCTCTGCGGTGCAGGTGAGTACCTGGCGCCCCGCAGCGGGGACTCCTCGGTTCGGTAATTGCCGCTAAGGTTCCGTTGAGCTCCCAGATCCTCCCGGTACTTTGAACAGCCCGGGAAAGGAGACGATGTTTGACTTGGTAGAGAGTTTGGACCATTAGAGTTCAAAAGAACTGGGTGGACAGACACCCCAGCTTTGCCACCAGCTCTGATCATCCCGAGCCGGTTACCTAAGCGGTGTGCGCTACTTTCTCATCTGCTGAATAGGGACAGTGATACTAATTTGCAGATTGTCATTCTGATAAGACAGGATCGATCAGTAATATATGTCAAATGCTTGTGTGGGGTTCCTACTATTCGGGAATGGGCGCCATTGCTTTAAATACTCTATTTAGTGCTTTCACGACTCAGGAAAGCCCAGGTATTTTTTTGTTGTTGTTGTTGTTGTTTGCTTGTTTGTTTTTGTTTTAAGATAAGCAAAATATTTTAATAAGCTGTTTTTACCCCGAAATTTCCCCTGAATTTGATTAATGTACTAGATATGTCCACTTTAGTTACAAAAATGCTGCTACTTTGAGCTCTTCAAAAATGCTGATTTGAACATCTAAAAAGCTTCTAAAGAAAAAACTTAGCAACATCACTTCCCTGGTTGAATATTGTTACCCTTATTTAGAATACAAAGTTGGTATTTCCTTTATACATTATTCGGTGCCACAGGTTAAAATTGTTTTCCCATGATTACCTGTATATTTCTTGAATTTATTTACGTAAAGTTGACCCATACTACGTAAAACAATTAAATGTCTATATCAAGATGAAGAAAGTAAAGAATAGGGACACCTGGGTGGCTCAGTGGGTTAAAGCCTCTGCCTTCCGCTCAGGTCATATCTCAGGGTCCTGGGATCGAGCCCCGCATGGGGCTCTCTGCTCAGCGGGGAGCCTGCTTCCTCCCCTCTCTCTCTCTCTCTCTGCCTGACTTTGCCTACTTGTGATCTTGGTCTGTCAAATAAATAAAATAAAATTATTAAAAAAAAAAAGTAAAGAATAACTTACTTACTGTCCTTACTTTTATTGTAGCGAATCCTTGCTGTTCCAACCCATGTCAAAACCAAGGTGTGTGTATGAGCATAGGATTTGACCAGTACATGTGTGACTGCTCTCGAACAGGATTCTATGGTGAAAACTGTTCAACACGTAAGTGTGCCCTTGGGTGCCCTTATTTGGACTGGGGATACGTGCAAGTATCACTTCACACTCTAGTTAATCTTAAAATGGGTCCTGCTAATCTTTCTCCCCGCTCCCTTTTTGCAGCTGAATTTCTGACAAGAGTAAAATTATTCCTGAAACCCACTCCGAATACAGTGCACTACATACTTACCCACTTCAAGGGAGTCTGGAACATTGTCAATAACATTCCCTTCCTGCGAAATGTAATTATGAGATACGTGTTGACATGTAAGTACAAGTCTCTAAGGTTTTCAGTTTCCTCAAAGAAAAATGTTCTTTATAAAACTTGATTATTGAGCCTAATCCCGAAATCTCTTTTCAACCTTGTCAAAATAACTTTAAATAGACCTTTTTAGTTTACCTTCCATCTTAATGGCTCAAAATACATCTCAGTCCCATTCAGTTTGGAAAGTTCTGTCTCACAATCAGAATTCTACTTAAATCTTGTACACCTCTTATAAATTCACTGCTCTGCCAATCCATGAAGGAAGTGCGGTCCAGTTTATTCAATGTCATGGACCACAGGATTGCACCTAGTAAAATAATCTGGTTAATCTGGATTTGGGTCAGCAAGAAAATTATTACTAAAGCATGTGTCTTGCCCAAACATTCCTTCATAGGCCTCTTAAGTGGTAGGTGGATGATTATTTGAAAAATCAAGATGGCTAGATCATGTTTTATGTGAAAGCATATATACGTCATTAAAGATACATTTTAATGGATCATTTTTCCTGATTTTTTTTTTTTTAAGTACAAGTGGCAGTTAGACTTCAGTGTAACTGTTCTACAGTGGGTTGTCTTTGTTGGAATTAAAGTCAGTCTTTCCTGCCACTTTGTACTTATTACAGTAAAAAGGAACATTGATGTGGGCACAAATAAAACACATTTTTTTCCTTAAATTTCAGCCAGGTCACATTTGATTGAGAGTCCACCAACTTACAATGTGGACTATGGCTATAAAAGCTGGGAAGCCTTTTCTAATCTCTCCTACTATACCAGAGCTCTTCCCCCTGTGGCGGATGACTGTCCAACACCCATGGGTGTGAAAGGTAAGTGTCGAGAGGCAGTCAGAGATGTATTCATTGCAGTAGGGATTGGATTGTTAACCTAGAAAATTCAGCCCTGAACTATCATTTATTTGTTAATAAAAGTATATTGTTTGCTCTTTTAAGGATATCTTGGAGATTTTTTTTTGAAAAGTGTATTTCTGTCAACTATTCATGAAAGTGAATGGACATTTTGGTTTAATGTCTTTACTGTTTTCAAATTGTTTCATTAAAACCAAATAAATACTAGTTAAACAAAATAGGTAAAATTAATTCAGTAAGAATGTGTTTCCCCATATCTTAGAACTTTGATTTATGTTGTAATTCTTTTCTCCTGTAGGTGAAGAAGGCCCCTTAGGAAATAGATGCTTCCTTGGATTTGTTAATGAATTCTTATCTTAGCTTTCTCATTTTTTAGGCAAGAAAGAGCTTCCTGATTCTAAAGAGATTGTGGAAAAATTTCTTCTAAGAAGAAAGTTCATTCCTGATCCCCAGGGCACAAATATGATGTTTGCATTCTTTGCCCAGCACTTCACCCATCAATTTTTCAAGACAGATCATAAGCGAGGGCCAGGTTTCACCAAAGGACTGGGCCATGGGGTAAGACAGAGTTAAAGCGAAATAATAGCAAAAATAACTGAGTGCTGTGTGTGTGTATTTTTGCTACACCAAATTTACCCTCTTCTTAAATGCTCTGTCTATAAAAACCTTAATGGAATTTCCATTTTTGATTCACTGGTTTAGTAAAAAATACACATGCACACACACATGCATATAGGCATAATATTTGTAATTTGGCTCCTACATTTTTAGTTTAAAATATTAGCACTGCAAAAAGTGGTGTCTTAAAACATATTTGTACTCTGATTATGATGCTTTAAATATTATGAGATTTTTGCAGCATTCTTATCCCTTGGAGTTCAGTGACAGTTTCAATTTGCCAGTGAGAATTTTAGATCAGTAATATATTTTCTGATGCTTATTAAAAGAAATACCATATAGCTATAGTGAAGCATATTACCTACTTAAAACTCCATATGAGATACTAAATACCTTTCAACACAAGAGACCTAGGTTTGTAGTATCATTGGATAAACAAATTTAGTATTTTTTGGCTTTGAGAAAAGTGTTTTATCAAATTATTTAATGATAAATTATAGACACTTTACAAACTTCAGCAGCAACAAATTAAAATTTTTCCATCTCTTCTAGGTGGACTTAAACCATGTTTATGGGGAAACTTTGGATAGACAACATAAACTGCGCCTCTTCAAGGACGGAAAAATGAAATATCAGGTTTGTTCTGTTTGAATCTTAAGAATTAGTTATGACTCATGACTTAGCTGTATTTAGAAACTTCTGCTGATTAAAATGTAACATTTTTGTTACCATTGTTCTTTAGGTAATCAATGGAGAGGTGTATCCTCCCACAGTCAAAGATACTCAGGTGGAGATGATCTACCCACCCCATGTTCCTGAACACCTGCGGTTTGCTGTGGGCCAGGAAGTCTTCGGACTGGTGCCTGGTCTGATGATGTATGCCACGATCTGGCTGCGGGAGCATAACAGAGTGTGTGATGTGCTCAAACAGGAGCATCCAGAGTGGGATGATGAGCGTCTGTTCCAGACGAGCAGGCTCATATTGATAGGTAAGCAAGAGGAGAAAATAATTTAAATGCAACTCTCCTCCACAGAGAAAACGAACTTGCTACCTTTGATATGTTTTAACTAATTCTGGGAGAACGTGGTGAATGTAAAATCACTTGCTCCCTATTAATTCAATCCTTGAGCAGGATTGGTAATATAAATAACCTTTTGTGTTGACCGTTTAAGGGACAAAATAGAAGTGAGGGAGTAACGGATTCACCCAATTGCATGTCAGTTGCGTGAAAGTTGGTCATCCGAGAATGAATGCTCTAAATGTCTTTATTTTGTGTAAATAGGAGAAACCATTAAGATTGTGATTGAAGACTATGTGCAGCACTTGAGTGGCTATCACTTCAAGCTGAAGTTTGACCCAGAGCTGCTTTTCAACCAACAATTCCAGTACCAAAACCGCATTGCTGCTGAGTTTAACACGCTCTACCACTGGCACCCCCTTCTGCCCGACACCTTGCAAATAGATGACCAGGAGTACAATTTCCAACAGTTTGTCTACAACAACTCGATACTGCTGGAACATGGGCTTACCCAGTTTGTGGAATCCTTCAGCAGGCAAATTGCTGGCAGGGTAAGCCTGGTTACTGAAAAACAAAACCAAGGACTACTCAGTCACTAGAATTTCCACCATCAAAATGATTTTTCTTAAACTTACTGAAAGAGTAATATTTTGCTAGTCATTTCTCTTGAAAATAGAAGTCTACCATTTTTTTGGAAAAGTCTAAACATGAAAAATGTCTAAACTGGTAGTCTATCAAATAGCGATAGGTAGTCATGGCTTAAAAATATCTAACCTGTAGATTATAGAGCTAAATCTTTCTAACTTGGATAGTTTAGGTCTCGGCTGGGAACGTCAGTCCTGTGTACTCCACCCAGGGAATGAGTGCTTTTAAAGGAGAAATCATCATCAAGATGCCTAAAAATGGTGTTCTACGATTTATTTTCCACAGGTTGCTGGTGGTAGGAATGTTCCAGCTGCAGTACAACAAGTAGCAAAGGCCTCAATTGACCAGAGCAGACAGATGAAGTACCAGTCTCTGAATGAGTACCGCAAACGCTTTCGGCTGAAGCCCTACGCGTCTTTCGAAGAACTTACAGGTGAGAGAGTTTGAAGAATCAAGGGTCAAATGGAAACAACAGAGAAGTTGAAAGGGAATTGAGTCAAGGGTTAAAACTTTTTTTTTTTTTTTGGTAAAGCTTTTTACATTGGTTGTATATCTGTCTTTGTCACCTTCACAGGAGAGAAGGAAATGGCTGCGGGGTTAGAGGCCCTTTATGGAGATATTGATGCCATGGAGCTGTATCCAGCCCTCCTGGTAGAAAAGCCTCGTCCAGATGCCATCTTTGGTGAGACCATGGTAGAAATGGGAGCACCATTCTCCTTGAAAGGACTCATGGGTAATCCCATCTGTTCGCCTGACTACTGGAAGCCCAGTACTTTCGGTGGAGAAGTAGGCTTTAAAATCATCAACACTGCCTCCATTCAGTCTCTCATCTGCAATAACGTGAAGGGCTGTCCTTTTACTACATTCAATGTTCAAGACCCCCAGCTCACCAAAACAGTCACCATTAATGCAAGCTCTTCACACTCCGGACTAGATGACATCAATCCCACAGTCCTGCTAAAAGAACGGTCCACCGAACTGTAGAAGCCTGTTAATCATATTTATTTATTTATATGGACGATTTCTTTTAACTTAATTATTTAATATTTATGTTAAACTCCTTATGTTACTTAACATCTTCTGTTAAGGAGAAAGGGGTCATACTTGTGAAATTTTCATGTCACTACTTTAAAGATGTCTTCAGGTTAAAGGAGAAAATAGTTGTCATTGTTTTGTGAGTTTGACATCCTTTTACTTGAATTTCAGTTTATATTATTTATAATAAGATCAAAAGCAAAGGTGTTTGGACATTTAAACTCTGTTCCAAGATGGCAAAATGCTGCAAATGTTTTTCCGCACTGTCGGGATTTCTAGTGTATCTTCCAGGAAGCATTAGAAGCAATTACCTGCACACTGTTTCTTTTCTTCTGTTAGCCACTGTGCTGGTAGAAACTCTCTTCTGATGAGTTTACTTTTTTGTTTTCTTGGTTTTAAAGATCTGAGTACATCTGTCTTTGTTTGGACTCTGTACTTTCTTACCTGAACTTGCAGAAGTTTTCAGAAAACCTCAACTCAGGACTACTAATTTAGCTCCTCTTAAGAGGAATGAAAAAAAAAAACAAACAAAAAAACACAAAGCCCTTAAAGGCCTCTACACAGAGGCATTTTACATGAACGGCAGAGAACTTTATCATTTCAAACTCTGTGTAGCAGAAGAAGCCTACAATGAGACTAATGCCTGACAAAGAACTGTAGGGGTTTGTTGATAGAAGAAAGTTGTATTTCTGTTCTAATGAATGTCCTTTCCTATTTAAAAGCAAAACCAAACAAATCCTGAATAGTTTCTGGGAAGATAATGTTTCTTTTCCACGTCTCATTGTCAGCTGACATTTGCTGGTACTGTATACTACTTAATTTATTGAGTATTATTATTTATGTTTTGTTAGGACATTATTATAAACTAGGTTTAAGCTGCAATCATTGATTTTTTTTTCTTTTGCATTGTGTGAGAATCATTGAGATTAACTCTGAATTAATATGTAAACTATAAGATAAATTATGTAAACTATAAGATAAATTATTAAGATTTTTGAATAAGTTTTCAGGAACCCAACTCTGGTATACTGAAATACGGAAAGTTGGAATTGATATATAGATTTATCTATATACCAGCCCACAGAGACCACTGTGTCTCATTAGTCTGGATATACTATAAGACTGACCTCTTACACATTTTTGAAGGACCTATGGATCCTTCATTAATTCATTCAGCTATAACTTATTGAGGGGACATGTGCAGGGCACTATGGGTTTTAATATTTTTTTGGTTTTAATATTTTTAAATCAAGCACTGATTACAGATAACATCAGTATTTGTAAATAAGTGAAAACAGGTCTTTTAGGTAGAAGAAGAAAATGAAATTTCATTAAAGGAAATAACTCAGGGGAATTTTTAAGATTTTATGTTTAAAAAGTTTATAGTTAAAGAAATAGTCAATATTAGAATGGCTTATATAAAAACTTTTGACTTCACTGATTAAAAAAAAAAACTTACATTAACATCATCCTGCTGACTGAAACTGGGAATTCGGAATATAATATGAATGGTTTGGTGCCTCAGACAAATGTGTATTTAAATTAACGTATGTAAGTGTCGAAACAAATGCCTGTTTATTTTTATACTATTTAAGAATGGAAAAAATCTCTTATAAAATAAATTTTGACTGTTTCCATATATCTTTGTCCTATGACGTATGATTTCTCTAAAGCACTATACGTATACCCTTGTCTTCTATCTGTTCTGGACCTGACGCCATGAATGAAATAGTTCTCCCTCAGTCATAGAGAGGTTTCTTAGAGGAAGAAGCTGTCCTTTGTTCACTGCAACACTCTATTGGAAAATGTGTGCTTTGTGCTATAGGAGATAGCAACAAACTTGTTTTCATTGGCTAATCTGGAAGAAAGAAAACCAAGCATACAGAAGGCAAAGAATAAGATAAATGGCTAAGGAAGTACAAAATTATAAGTTCAAAGAACTGGGGAAACCATTGGTACCTGGCTCAAGGGCTTCCATTGTACTCCTAATGCTGATATTTTGGTAATAGCACTATCTACCAGGATCACCTGTTTAACATCCTGTGGCTTTTCTCTTCCTTGGCTTTCATTCCTGTGATGGCTTCTTCCGTATTTCCTACTATATACCTTGATCTTATCAGTTGCTATACTATTACCAAAATCTTGATTTCAAGCATCTTCTTGACTTACCTTCTAATTCACCTATCTTAGTACTCACATTTAAACATGTAACTCTGGTTTCATTGAGCCTACTGATTCATTGACCTCTTTACTTTTCATTACCCCATTTATCTCATTTCCTTACAATCATGCCTTCATTCCTTGTCTACTCTCCCTCCATTATACTTAACTGGCACAAGTTTGTTTCAAACATCCTCCTAATCTCTTTGACTTCTTAGTAGCATTCAGCACAAATGTTTATAGTTTTCTTTACCGAAAGATTTTTTTTTTTTTTTTTTTTTTGGTTCTTGGTTTGAAACTCTCTTGGTGTTTGCCTTCATGCAGTGATATTACTCAGATTTTTTAAAAAAATCTCTTCATCCTCCATTGTGTCTATAAATTGAAGTGTCTTCATCCTCCTCTTTATCTGCCCTCTTCCAGGTGAATCCCATCCAAGTTCATAAATTGAAACATTATCACTCCCAAACTTACTTCACCAGAACAATCTCATTGACAACTTACCCACTCAAATGCATAAATTTAAATGGCTTATTTTACCAACTTTGCCCACTTCACACCACATAACCGAAATAATAATCATCCAAAGTTAAGGACACCACCATCTCCTTGTTCTCAAGCAGAATCCCCTCTTTTCTTCATGCCCATGGTCAATCACACAGCAATTTTGTTGACTATAACCCACAAACAAATTCTGCACCTGTCACCTTTTCTCTAATACTACCAACCTAGTTGATGCAATTATCTCTCTATTGGCTTTCCTTCTGTTCTTGCCTCATTCCAAATCATTCTCCTTATTATGATGAGAGTGGTCATTTTCAACTATGCATCAGATAATGTTCCTCTCCTGTTTGAAATCTTCCGATGGCGTCCTATTACGCAATGGACAAACCTAAACTCCTTATCCTATCATAGTGTCTCAGTAATCAGCCCCCTGCCTATCTGACCTCATTCACCATAATTTCCTGCCCTTGCTCACTGTGCTCCAGCCACATTGCTCATTGCTTGCTCAGCAGCAGGGGTTCTCAAGCTGTTGCCCCTGTTTCAAATGATCCTTCTTCAGATTTCCACACAGCTAGATCCTTCTCAACAGCCAAAGCTTGGCTCAAATTTTCCCTCTCAGGCCTTCTCCAACCACATAAACTAATGCCAACTATGAAAGCTCTTTCATCTTCTTTATGGCATTTGTTTCTGTTATTACCTTGATTTGTATGTTTATTTATTATCTGTGTCCCCTCAGTAGAATTTCATGCCTATGAAAGCAAGGACCTTGTTTGCATTATTCACTGGTCTCAGAACAGTGGTACTTAAAAGGCATTACAAAATATTCAATAAGTGAACAAGAATAAGACTCATGAAAGAAGAAGAATATGTGGTGATTCTTATTTCTAATTTGTTTTATTTATTTATTTTTAAATTTTATTTATTTATTTGACAGCCAGAGATCACAAGTAGGCAGAAAGGGGGGAAGCAGGCTCCCCTTTGAGCAGAGAGCCCCATGCGGGGCTCAACCCCAGGACTCTGAGATCATGACCTGAGCCAAAGGCAGAGGCTTAACCCACTGAGCCACCCAGGTGCCCCAATATGTGGTGATTCTTAAAGGAAGAGTAAGATCTTAGAAGACAGAGATACCCACTCTGGAGAAATAGTTCAGCAGTTTCTTCTAAAACTGAAAATTATCTTACCATGTACATTAGTTTTCTATTGATGCTATGACAAATTACAACAAACTTAATGGCTCCAAACAACACAAATTTATTATCTACAGTCCTGGAGGTTCAGAAGTAAGAAATAGATCTTATGAGTTAAAATCAAAGTGTCAGTAGGGCTGTGTTTCTTCTGGAAGCTCTAGGGGAGAATCTGTCTTTTCCTTTTCTAGCTTCTAGAGGCTACCTGCATTACTTGGCTCATGGTCCATTTCTTTACCTTCAAAGCTCGCAGGGTAGCATCTTCTAATATCTCTGACTCTGATTCTCTTGCTTCCCTCCCATAAGGACACTTTTTATTACTTTGGGCCCATGAAGATAATCCAGGAAAATCTCCTTCCCTCAAGATCCAAAATTTTTTTTCACATATACAAAGTCCCCTGTACCATGAAAGGCAACATATTCACATGTTCTAGGGATTAGGGCATGGAAATCTTTGGAGGACTATTATTTTACCTCCTACATGATACAATCTAGCATTGTACTCTTGGGTATGTATCCCAGAAAAATAACCTATATTCACATAAAAATCTCTATATGAAGCTTCATAGCAACTTTATTCATAACAGCACAAAACTGGAAATAATTCAAATTCTTCAAAAGGTTAATAGTTAAACAAACTGTAGCAAACTGTGGTATATCCATACCATGGAGTACTATACAGCAAAACAAATACAACTAATCATACATGAAACAACTTGGATAGAACTCAAGTGAGTTTTGCTTAGTGAAAAAAAAGGCAGTCTCTTAAAGTTACCTATTCTATGATGATTATATACATATGACTATAATGTAAGATGTTGACATCAGAGGATGTGGTCTGAAGGTTGTGTGGTACTCCCTCTACATTTCTTTGCAACTTCCTGTGAATTTACAGTTATTTCAAAGTAAAAAGTAAAAAAAAAAAAAAAAAAAAGGAAGAGACGTCATTCTTGGTGATAAGAACAGGTTTATAGGCCACTTTTGTATCATTTGATTTCCTTGACCCTTATCCAAACTGCCACAATAGACTGTCCTAGAGTGGACATCCAACCAAGCAGGGAAAATAAAATTCTCTCTCCAAAAAATTTAGAATTAGGATGGAGATTCTAAATCAGTCTGACAGTTGTGTAGTTGACAATGGTGGCAATGCAATTTAATAAATAAACCCCCCAAAGTCTTTTCTTTTCTTTTTTTAGGATTTTATTTATTTATTTGACAGACAGAGATCACAAGTAGGCAGAGAGGCAGGCAGAAAGAGAGCAAGGGGAAAGCAGGCTCCCCACAGAGCAGAGAGCCTGATGCAGGACTTGATCCCAGGACCCTGGGATCATGACCTGGGCTGAAGGCAGAGGCTTTAACCCATTGAGCCACCCAGGTGCCCCCTCAAAAGTCTTTTCAATAAATGGTCTGAGAAAATTGAACATCTATGTGAAAAGAAGGAAACTCGATTGTACCTCACAACACACACATATTAATTCAAGATCGTTCACAGATCAAAACTATAAAGCTTTCAGAAATAATTATAGAATAATATCTTCATGAACCTAGATTAGGCAAAGAGTTTAAGATCCATCAAGTACTAACCCTAAAAGATAAGAAGATTAATGGTTTACTTCATAAAACAAGAAAAGTTGCTCATCAAAAGACGATGCTAGGAAAATGAATAGACATGCCACATACTCAGAAAATAGTCATAACACACACATCTAACAAGGACTGGAATATAGAACGTATAAATAACTCTAAATAGTAAAAATAATAACTTAGTAAGAATAAGCAAAAGATATAAGCAGAAACTTACTGACATGTGAATATCCAATAAGTACATGAAAATACAGGGGTGCCTGGATGGCTCAGTGGGTTAAACCTCTGCCTTCAGCTCAGGTCATGATCTCAGGGTCCTGGGATCCAGCCCCACATCAGGCTCTCTGCTCAGCGGGGAGCCTGCTTCCCCCTCTTTCTCTGCCTGCCTCTCTGCCTACTTGTGATCTCTCTGTGTGTGTCAAATAAATAAATAAAATCTTTTTTAAAAAATACATAAAAAAAAAGAAAATACGTTCAATATCATTAGTCATCAGGGACATGAAAATTAAAACCACAGTGAGATACTAGTAGACACCTATTAGATTCATTAAAATTTAAAAGATTAACTGTAATGGTTAATTTTATTATTTTATTTTATTTTATTTTATTTTTTAAGATTTTTATTTATTTATTTGACAGAGATCACAAGTAGAGGCAGGCAGAGAGAGGAGGAAGCAGGCTCCCCATGGAGCAGAGAACCCGATGCGGGGCTCCATCCCAGGACTCTGGGATCATGACCCAAGCTGAAGGCAAAGGCTTTAACCCACTGAACCACCCAGGTGCCACAATTTTTTTTTTATTTAATTTTAATTTTTATCTTTTAAAAATTTTATTTATATATTTGACAGAGAGAGACATCAAGAGAGGGAACACAGCGGGGAAAGTGGGAGAGGGAAGCAGGATCTTTGCTGAGCAGGGAGCCTGATGTGGGGTGTCATCCCAGGAGTCTGCTGCGATCGTGATCTGAGCTGAAGGCACATGCTTAAGGACTGAGCCACTGAAGGCACCCTGTAATGGTTCATTTTATATGTCAACCTGGCTAAGATATGGTGCCCATTTGGTCAAACGCCAGACGCTGCTGTGAAAGAATATTTAAATGTCATTAACATTGATATCTGTAGACTTTGAGTAAAGCATATCATTCCCCATACTAAGGTGAACCTCACTCAATCAGCTGAAAGCCTTAAGAAGCAAAGACTGACCTTCCTCC